AAGGAAAGAAAGACATAGAGAGAGAGAGAGGAGGGAAAATGAGCAAAACAGGGGACCCAGAGAGAAAGACACAGACAGACTCAGAATAAGAATGAGCCAGATGATCGACAGCTGTGACACAAACAGAGCAGAAAAAGAGGGAATAATACAGGGAGAGAAAACAGGGAGATCATTAGTCATGTATATTTAGTATAATCTTTATAATAGGAAAGCCATCATCTGCCCAAACTCTCCATAAATATGCATATGTACAATTAGCATGACTTACCCTCATACCTAATAATCAGATATTGTAGTCCTTTTCATGGAGGAAGGGCAGTAAAATCAAAGACAGATAAAGTTCAAGTTCACAGTCTCAGCTCTCTGATCCGTGTCTGTTTGCTTCAGCTGTATTCAGGTTGCATTTGGGGATTCACTCCATCTGTTAAATGTCAAAATATCCAATTTACTCCTTGTATGGGTTTACCCTCTGTGCCCCTCTAGCTTTTAATAACTAATAAACTTAGTAAAAAGCTTAAATATATCCCTTTTTATTCAACGTATTACCAACAGGGGTCAACTGCAGTTTACACCTCAGGAGCACAAGGCTTTGGATTTAGTAAATTGGTTTCAGTGCTTCTCGCAGACAGCCTCAGTGAAAACTCTTTATTACAGTGATTTTAATTAACACTAATGGCCCAGGGTTCAGTCTGAATCTTTTTTGGGGTGACTTCTGCTGTTTCTGACACAAATAATCAGGCTCCTAATAAAAGAGCAGATGCAGGATTTTGTGCACAGGTAATGGTCTCTGCAGTGACAGCAGAAGTTACAGGAGCTCATCTTTACTTACAGTAAGTCTTACCACAGAAACATAACCATAAACCTGTATAGGCTTACGGTTCATATACTTCATTATATGGCACACGTATAAAACATAAACACCATCTCCAGTTTGTAACCTCTCCTGACCTGTCACTTTCAGGGCCTCTTAACCTTTAACTGACATTTATGGACCACTGCCCCTCTCATGGCAGCACTTCTTTATCACTTATGCAACATTTATTTGAAATATGGGAGTAGACAGCTGTATGATAACATCTTGTTTCCACCTCACTTAAGTACACACTCTGCATTGGCTCTGTGGCCAGCTCACTCGTTTCAAAGCTGTCTGAATTTTCTCTTGTAATGACGTTGTGAGGGATTTCCATAGGCATACATACAAAAGAAATACCTCCAGAAGTCCCACTACATTTTGCGTTGTAATGGTTTCACTTCAGCATTGCAGAGTCAAGATATCAAAGGTTAGAGCTGGTTGGTTGCAAAAAAAAAACACACAAAGGCATTTATTTTGTTCCAGCAGCAGAGGACCAAAGAGAGCAGGGGCTGCTTTTGGTTTTTAACAGATTTTTGCGGCTACAGTTTACCTACTTTCCTCTACAGACCACTGAACATTGGGCCTCTCCACCAACAAGCTGACCACATCGAGTTAAACACATTGGTTTTAACCCACTACTACCGCTGGTGAGACGGCGAAGGGTGCAGTGGTATTTTTGTGCCTAGCTTGTCCGCCAAGCTAGGCGTGGTGGCGTGGAAGAGGGAGGTGTCGACAGAATCAGCTGGCACAGTGACATTTTCGTGCTTGCCGGTGGCTGAAAGCTCGCTAATTCAAACCTGGTCAGCTTTCAGCGCAGGCGGAGCGCAGCTGGTCTAGTGGTATTTTGGTAGACCGGCGGCGTATCGGCATACGTCACCAATGCCTCGCTGGCAGTTTTTCACAGTGTCAGGCACATTTCAGTGCAATAAATAATCAACAACTAATAATCTGAGTCAGCACATTTAGATCTATATAGATATATTCTGATCTATATCTGATCTGATGAGCTCGTTTGGCACGCGTTTGGACACACAACCTGAACAAATCAACACAGCTGAAACCACATTAAATTAAATTAAATATCTAGTAAATAGACACACATGATGACGTTAATAAGATATGTAATTCATCTCCCTCCTTTTCTTTCTTCCTCTTCCTCTTATTTCGCGCGCAGCTCAACGTGGATATGTCTCCGTGTCCTCTCCCCGTCCTGCAGCAGCTGCTGCTGTGGCGGCTGAACAGATGATTTGTTTCAGTGATCAGATGAGTTATTTACTTCAAGCTTACATACGAATATTATAATACTCAGTTTTGTGAGCCAAATTTATTTTGTATGCCAACATCTATGAAAGAAAGAGCCAGGCCACGGAGGCAACTTTATGTGAGTGTCTTTATTTGTGGAAAAGGGTGTTTGTCTTACTAGTGGGTCCAACATTACACACACCAAATCCATCTGTGCTCATATTAGAATGCAGCGCTTACAGTGACACTTGTTGAGGAGCTGCCTTCTGTCGCCATCATGTGGCATTACTTCAGACATCTCTTGATCTCTTTGACTACTTCACAAAAATGGTAATACGCCTCGCCGGTGGCGGATTTAAAGGCGAGGAGAGGAGCTGATGTTACTGGTCAATACAGGTCTCGGCTGTGTTAAACCCACTCCACACCCTCTCTCCTCCCTCGCTACGACTTATGCTGCTGGGAGGAGCTGAGTTAGGGAGGGGGGATACTTACGCTGGGCTGCGCTGCTCACCAAAATACCAAATTGTGCTTGGGAATGCCTTGTTGGCGCGGTAGACCTGAATTACACCGCGCCTGCGCCACGTCTCTGGCGAAGCATCAAAATAGAGCCCGATGTGTACAAAAAGTCTGAATGAGTTTCTCTGAAAGGCGGCTGGGCTCAGCCTTGGAGGGAAGGTTCACACAGCTAAAGGGCCTTCAGAGTAGAAACATTACTCTCTCTTCATAAAGAGGGCCAGTTGATGTAGTATGGATGTTTGATTGAGATATCTCCAGGGCATCTCCCTTAGGCAGTTTTCCAGACATAACTAACTGGGAGGAGACCCTAGATTAGACCCCAAGCTTGCTGGAGGGATTATGCATCCCATCTGAATCCCCTCAGAGGAGTTTGAAAGCACTGCTGGAGAAAAGGTCAGACTGGCTCCAGCAGCACGATGACCATGGTTATTTCACCCAGCAGTCAGTCAGAGTAAAACTTACAACATAAACAATTAAAGACCACAGAATAATATCATACATAACACAAAAAGACACAGGAGGCCAATGGAAAAGACAAAACCACTGCATGCCTTTGCAGTTGTGGCTTATGTGAACACAAAGGCTGCAGCTGTAGTTGATGACGACGCTGTGTTATCACAGGAGGCAAAATTAGGTTATAAAATATTGACACGAGAAATGAGGTGACAGGGAAAGGTATGCTTGTTAAATAATTTTGACTGGCGGGACAGAAAGGAAAGTCAGAAGATGAGAAAAACAAACACAGAAAGAAAAATGAGATCGAGGAGATGATGGCGGAGTGCTCCAACAACTGGAGAGACAAACACAAGCAGGGAGAGAGAGAAAGAGGAGCGCGATCATTAGTCAATGTCTGCAGCTAATGACGTGCATATCTTGTCGAGCGCTCTAAGATTAATTAAATAAATCAAATTAAGAACCCACAATAGGTTTGGATGTAAAGGTCAGAGTCAGAGTTTGAACCTGTTCTATCAAATTACCGTCCGAGGCTAAATTATTAACCCGCATGTTGATTACATGTTGAGGACAGAGCAGGAGCTCAGGCTGCAGCCACAGCAGATCTGTGTAATTAAACAGGGCCTATTCTGCTCACTTCAAGCTCCTCTTTTTATTTCTATCTGAGGCATCACCGGACAATGTGAACATGGTTCCCAACACCAAAAATAATATTTATTCACAGATATAATCCTGATGTAGCCCTTAAAAACACACAACAGTGACCCTCAAAAGCCAAAAAGTCCTTCTTACCACAAGCTGCTGATCACTCCACCAGATTTGAAGGTGATCCAAAATTGATCAGAGAAAAACAAAAGAATACAGGAGGACAAACAGAAATAACTAGAAAGGTTAGAATCAGTTAATGGTCAAAAAGATCTTGAATGTTAGTCCAGAGTGTTACCGACAGGGTAGGTGATGAACTGCCAAGGAGTAGAGATTCACACTGGGTTTTGAAGCTGCTAAGGAGAGTGGTGGCTGATGAGCTGATGACTGACAGGTGTATGGATGGCACAGGTGAATTGATTGGAGGAGGCGGCCAGATCACACTTCCAAAGACAATAGAAAACAAACAGACAACACAAACCCAGACGAGGGGGGAGGGGCAACATAGGAGAAACAAGGGACAGACACTGCAGATCCTAACATCCAGCTTATTTCATGCCTGCCTGTTGACACTGTGGAGAAAATGTTAGTCTGCATCTCAAGCTGGTCTGTGAGGGTCAGACTGAGGACAGTTGGTTATAAATCACATGATCTGGTCATTTTATATATATATATATATATATATATATATATATATATTTATATATTTATATATATATATATATATATATATATTTATATTTATATATATCTTAATCTGATTAATAATAATAAGATAAGATAGACACATAGACTTTATATAGAATGGACACTGTCTGCCTTCTCTCTGGGTGAAGTTACCCCAAGAACAGCACCCTCCGATGACGGCGGGTTGCAGTATAGGTCATAAATCCCCCCTGGTTGTGATGTTGACATGTAGTTACTGTAAGACTAGTTTGTGCTCAAGTCCTGTTTTTTTCTGTACAGCTCTTTTTTTTTTTCCTAGTTATCATTATTATTATTGTAAAAATTATATTAATTAATTATTAGGGCATTTATGTTTTCTATGATTGACACCTGATACAGCCTATAGGTGTCCAAAGATTGCATAGCTCAACTGGAGGGTACACTGTTTAAGCAGGGTGTCATCACAGAGACTCTTGGCGACTCTTCTGCTGAATGCGTACAACGTTACTGCGAAAGTGTATTTCTGGGATTTTTTTCCACTTCCTGGAACCACCAGAGAGCATTTTGGCTTCAAATTCATACAATGAAGGAAGGTGGTGCCAAGTTATGCTACCGCGAGAACAGCACCCTCTGGTGACAGGCTGCATTACAGGTCATAAATCCCGCCTCCTCCGGCAATCCCTATGGAGCTGTGGACGAACTTTAGAAATTATTTACACGAAATATGTATATGTTTTTCCCCCTCTGGCTGGGTTGTTGACATGTAGTTACTGTAAGACTGGCTTGTGCTCAAATCCTCTTTTTTTCTGTTATCAAAAGTTATTCGTTACAAGCTACACGTTTTCTATGATTGACACTTGATACAGCCTATGGGTTACGAAGACTGCATAGCTCACCTGGGGGAAAGGTGTTTGAGCAGTGTGCCATCACAGAGACTTTTGGCCAATCTCCTGCCGAATGCGTACAATGCTACTGTGCAAGTGGTGAAGTGCGTACAACGCTACTGAGCAATCTTGGTTTCAGGAAGTGGAGAAAAATCGCGGAAATACCAAGAGCTCTTCAGCTTCAAATCTGTACACTGGCGGAAGGTGGAATTAAGTTGACCATCGTATATACCGTCTATGGTTAGACATAATCAGCCATTGTGTTTGACCTTTTATGAAAGGTCAGGGCTCTCAAGTCTCACGCATTCAGTGTGTGACACACGCATTCCCACCCATTCAAGCGCCACACTTTGAATTTCTCACACATTTAAATGAACATGGTGATGTCCACCAAGTTGCACCTCTTTAACTATGGAAAAGGTAGGAATAAAGTGAGAGTTAAGAAGCTGTGTGCCACGCGCAAGCCAATCAAATAAAGTATATATACTGAACAGCCAATCAAAAAGCAGCATTGCTGTATCAGGGGAGATTTTGATATCTACAGAAGAAGACACACTCGCCGAAACAGAGCAGGTTTCATAAGGACAAGAAAGACCCGATGATTTCAGGAAGTCAGTAACCTACACATGCAGAGACCTCAACACCTCATGGCTATTAACAGCTGTATTGATGAATTTAGCCTTTGTACAGCCATTTCCAGCCATTTTTCCCTCCACAAAAATCACATTTCTCATATATTCTTTTTAAAGTTCTGATACTCATGACAGTTTAAAGCTGATGTTCCAAAGGATTAAGTATCTCCATGTTTGTGGAACCTATACTGAAGTACAAATCATCTAAATGCTTCACAGTGCTGATTTTAACAACCCTCCTCCACAACAGGAAACTTTGATACTTTATTCTTATAAATTAATGACTTTATTCTCCTAAATAATAACTTTAATCTCAAAGATTAAATTTTTTTTTTCTTAATGTGGCCCTCATACTCCATTGGATTTATTAAATTATTGAATTATTAGATTATTATACTAACAATTATCTTCAATCACTCTTCACCCTTCAAGCTTAGTTCAAAACTTGAGAGCCCTGTGAAAATGATCTGGCCAATCAGATTCAGCGGACTGTGTTTCAGCAGGCCTAAATTAACTTTCATGTTTGAGTCAGTTCTCCCTTTTATATCTCTCTCTATATATCTTTTTGTCACTTTCCTCCTCCCTCCTCTTTTGTCTCAGGCAGTTATCGCTCACTTCTGGCCCTCTACATTCCCCAAATCCCCAACCTCTCTGCGTCATTTTCAGCTCAATTTAATGCTCTCTACACCCCCAGCCACCCCTTTGAGTCTCTCTCTCTCTCTTTCTCTCCATGTCTCTCTCGTTCTGTGTGTGTCTGTCTTTTTCTCTCTAATAGAGTATGAATGAGTGAGGCAGAGTAATAAAGTTTGAGAGGAGGCGGCCAGCCACGTCTCCCACCTCAACAGTCACGCTCACCTCTGTAACCAGGTTACTGTGTGTGTTTATATTTATGTGTGTATGTGAGTGTGCTGGCTGTTTGTTGTGGCTCAACTACCTACAGTTTAGTGTGTGTTTGAAAGTGTGAAATGTCTATCTGCCTCAGCTCAATAATCAAACCACACACACACACACACACACACACACACACACACACACACACACACACACACACACACACACACAACTGTATAACCTGATCAGTGACTCTGAGTGTTTGTGCGCTCTCTCTCTCTTTCTGCTCTGAACAGACCCTCTACATTGCATGATTAGTGTCTGTCTGATATGTAATAAAACACACACACATAAAAATAAACAAACCCAGGCAGGATTTCTTTGTTTCATTAATCTAAAGTGACTTAATTTGACAAATACAGCACTCAGCCAGGAATCATCATGTTGACTTCGCTGCAAAGAATCTTAAAGGAACTAACAAAATAATGAGTCACACATTTTCTTCTGCAGACTATTTTTCTATGACCGCACACAAACAGAAACACCCCCACACACATAATGTTTAGTAGTATAACCAAAAAGCAACCATTACAAAGTGGTGTATTTTTCTTTTTTTAGTTATGCACTACTCCTCAACCACCAGTGCTGAAAAAACAGGCTGATGCAGGAGGATTTAAAAACAAGCTGTAGTTCCTCTAGAGACCACTTGAGGCTTTCCTCAAATGCAAATTAAGATGGGATTCATGATAATATGGGAACCATCCTAACAAGTCCTATGTTAGGATGCAAATGTTTGCAGGGACCATTTTAGCCCCTTCATTTTGCACACAGTGTATGGAGTAAAAATGTTTTCATATCTCATCCAAATATCTAAAAGTTGTGCAATCATTTGCAGCTGGAACATACTGACAGGTAGGCATGTTGCAACAATTTGCCAGGAGGCAAAAGCTCTACCGCCACTCTCTTTTTTAGCTAGTTTTAAGGCTGATCTTGGTTAGTTGGAGCCAGCAGTTCCTATACAGTGACTATCATTGTTGGGCTAAACCTTCCTTGGAAGCTAATTGGTGATGACACTGAGCTCTATGAAATGCTAAGCACAAACATGTTTCCACCAAACACCCACATTCAATCAAAGGCAAGTGAACCATTACTTTGTGTTGTTAATGTGTTGTTTGACATGTGTTTTTATGATGTAGTCAAGGTTCTCTAAGTACCTTGAAAAGCGCTATGTGCATAACATTAGCCCTTATCATGACGATCAACAGGTTGCACCCAGATAGCACCCATGGGAGTTTTGATCATAAAATGAGGTATAATCAGGTGTACAACTGGCATGATGCTATCTTGAAGAACCAAGGCAAGCGGCACAGAGCTTTTGTGGGGTACTTAGATGGGCATATGGGCTCACAGTGCACATTTCACTGCTTTTTTTTGCACAGAGATACACAGCAATGCTCACATCATTATTAAATATTAGTGTTTCTGCTGATACAGTGTAATTTTGTCATTATTATAATTGATAATGGAGCGGGGAAAGTATTTTCCCCTTCAGCTTCATACATCATTAAACTGGTCCTGGTATGGAGCTGATCTAGGGATGCCAGAAGACAAGGGCATTATTTCTCCTCGCATATCTGCCTGAAATTCATAACTGCAGAGCCCAAATAGAGCCTGACGCACCACCAGGATTCACTGACATAAATGTACAATAATGTTAATAGTGTGCAGGGGAATTTTCAGTGGGTTTAATATTGATCCATGCATTAACATAACCCATACATGACTTTTTTTCTGTTTTCTGTTTTTGAAGAGCACAATGGAAGAAAAGAAGATAAATATGGCCTATGTAAACAGAGAGGCTAAACCCTGCTGTGTAAATAGCAAACTGCCTGTTGCCCATGCATCTGACTCTTGAAGGAAATGAGAGTGGACAGAGTGGTTGGTTTTACTCATGCTTGGTCCAGAACACACCTTTGAGTAACCAACCTTATTGCACCATGCATATTACCTAACGCCCAGATTCAGCAAAATACAGTTGGATGTGCCTGGATTCACTTTGCATTATACACTGTACACCATGTTCTTCAGGTCGTGTCAAGAGGGTGTGATGTCTGTGAGGACATGAGCACTTAAGTCAGTAGGAGTAAAAAAATCTGCCAGAGCACAAGTTTAGATTATGGAGGACAAACTGTTCATTGAATTTACTGTTTAACTGGAGACATAACATTAAATATGCTGTTGAATCATGGAGGCTGGGTCAGTGTAAAAGTTTCAGAGTAACAGTAAATAAGAAAGCTGATCACCGAGTTTCCTCCATACTCCATAATTCTCCTGCCCTTCAGCGATGTGAGTTATGGAGCATTGGGTTTATTTCATGCAGCCCCTCCTCTGAGAGCTCTGGGCACAAGTAGATACAGTGAAATCTCAGTAGCGCATAAATCAGCACTTATCCAACTTCATCAGCAAAACAGGCAAACACAACAGTAACTTGGCACTGTCACTTGTTTGTCTTTGCCTTCAGCTCATTTCCATGGCAGCAGCAGCAGTGAGGCCTGTTAGTATGCTGCAAAAAATGAAAGGCTGAGCAATCATCTAGATCTGCAAGCATATTTTTATGGACATGAGGTAGGCTGCCACTGTAGATATTTACACAGGGGAGGTTCTCTTGAGCAACAACAAAAAAAAAAAAAAAAAAAAAAATGTGAGAGGCCAGTCTGAGCGTAGTATATCCATGTACCTCGCATAACCACGTTTCAGAGTATTTCGGGCTGTAACATTTATGAGGACATGAGCGTTTACTTCACATCCACATTTTCAATGCTTCTCCTTGCTTATGCTTTAATCTGTTCTAATTGTGTTTAAAAATTTGTGTTTGTTTCTATTTCACACAATTTACATTAATTACTAAGGACCGATACTTAGGACCAATAAATACCTGGTTCTGAATTTTTAAAAAACCCAAAATTCAGTAATGTTTAGGTTTCAAGGGTACCATGAAGTTGATAGAGTTAAGTCATCTTATGTTAAATCAGTTGTGCATGAATATTAATAGACTGTCTAATGAAGTCTTTGACAAAACTCACAAGCCGTTCAGGGACCAGGTGAACGTGGCAAATGTGCAAAGAGGTCCAAAGTGTGGCTCCTTTTTAATGAAGTTGAAGATAGAGGTGAAGTGAAATGTAATTTAATTAGCAAAATATATTCTTGCAACCTCAACAGCCAAGTACATCAGCATTGTGCATCAAATCAAACTAAAATACAGGAACTTCCTTCTGTCTGTGGGTTGAAACAACTTTGTCAACTCTAGCTGCTGCTGCTGCAGGGCTGCCATCCTTTCGCTCCAGCCTGAGCAAACACAAATCAAGATTTAGGCAAAATCTCTATACGTAAATTGTTTGGAGAGGATCGTCTAACAGAAAAGACTTAATCATGGTTTTATGGAGTTGAACCATTTAGGATTCTCCATAATGGTATCATTAAAAAAAATTATAATGATAACAACCTTCATCCTTACAAGATGCCCATGCCAGCTACTGAGTTTTTCGGAACCAACTAAGGCATGAAAAGCAGACCAGGGTGAGATACTTGACTTCAATTTGAGTGTGTTCCTGTGGACAGCAAAACCAAAAGCTTTAAGAGACATTGGCGTCCATGACATTACTGCACACAAGACGGTTCTTCTTTGTGCATGTGCCAAGTGAGCTGACTAGGCAGGTAAAACAAAAGGACCTTTTCTTCATCAGAGTATTGATGCCTTATAATTAATACATAAAGTTCAATTGTATTTCATTCACCACTGAGAACACAGTTTAATAATCATTGCTTACTAGTGCTGAAGATGCTCAGTAGTTCTACTTTGGTGTTTTAATGTGACATACCAGTTGTAGCAATCAAGACAACCCTGTATGTGAAACTCACACATTCCTCGCAGGAAAGTTTTCTTGTCTGGTCCCAGGACACAGGATATAAATCTTTCCAGACTTGTTTGCACTTTCAGGTTACCTAACTGACACGACCGGAGGTTGACCAAACCTCTGACTCTTCACAATTGGTCAATTCTGAGAACAGAGACAGAGGGCTCTATTTTCGTGCCTTGCCGGAGACGTGCCGCTGGCGCGGCGTAAGTCAGGTCTGCCGCGCCGACAAGGTGTTCCCAAGCACAATTTGGTATTTTGGTGAGCCGCGCAGCCCGGCGTAAGTATCCCCCCTCCCTAACTCAGCTCCTCCCAGCGGCATAAGTTGTAGCAAGGGAGGAGAGAGGGCATGGAGTGGGTTTAACACAGCCGAGACCTGTATTCACCAATCACATAAGCTCCTCTCCTTGCCTTTAAATCCGCCACCGGCGAGGCGTATTACTATTTTTGTGAGGTAGTCAAAGAGATCAAGAGATTTCTGCAGACAGCAATGCCACACGATGGCGACAGAAGGCAGCTCCTCAACAAGTGTCGCTGTAAACGCTTCAGAGGGCGTCCTTTACACTCATATGAGCACAGATGGATTTGGTGTGTGTAATGTTGGACCCACTAGTAGACAAACACCTTTTCCACAAATAGAAACACTCACATTAAGTTGCACATATTCGAACCTCACGTGACAAAAGTAGGTTGAGCGCACAGATCACAACATAAATTCCAAAAATGGCATTAAAATCAGAACCATCTGTGCGTAATGACATATCGCGCTTCATGGCCTGGCTCTTTCTTTCATAGACGTTGGCATACAAAATAAATTTGGCTCACAAAGCTGAATATTATAATATTCGTATGTAGGCTTAAAGTAAATAACTCATCTGATCACTGAAACAAATCATCTGTTCGGCCGCCGCAGCTGCAGCAGGACGGAGAGAGGACACAGAGACATGTCCAGGTCGAGCTGCGCGAGAAATTAGAGGAAGAGGAGGAAAGAAAAGGAGGGAGACGAATTAAATAGCTTGTTAACTTCATCATGTGTGTTTATCTACTAGATATTTAATTTAATTTAATGTGGTTTCAGCTGTGTTGATTCGGTCAGGTTGTGTGTCCAAGCACGTGCCAAACGAGCTCATCAGATCAGATATAGATCAGAAAAAATCTGTATATATCTAAATGTATGTGCTGACTCAGATTAATAGTTGTTGATGAATATTTATTGCACTGAAATATGCCTGACACTGTGGAAACCTGCCGGTGAGGCATTGGTGACGTATGCCGATAGGCCGCCGGTCTACCAAAATACTACTAGACCAGCTGCGCTCCGCCTGCACTGAAAGCTGACCAGGTTTGAATTGGTGAGCTTTCAGCACACTTTACACGCCACTGGTGAGCACGAAAAAATGTCACTGCGCCAGCTGATTCTGTCACGCCATCACGCCCAGCTTGGCGGATCTCGGTTTGCCTCTGTGCGCCTCAGTCCATGAAAATACCAAACTGGCTGTACGCCGGGCACCGCCAGAGGAAAATACAACTGCGTGGGGTCCGCCACCCTCCACCCCCTCACCGGTGTACACGAAAATAGAGCCCAGAGTTTTTATTACCTTTCAAACTGACGCCATCGCTGACCATCTAAATAATCATTCATGCCTCAATCCAGGTCTCCCATTTGAGATTTACTGTCTTAAACATAAAGACCCCAAGATAAGCTCTGAGGAGCAGGACACTGACTTCCAGACCTCGGTCATAAAACCCTGCTCAACCATGTACTGATAAAAACTGCATTCCTTTGGTGAAAGAATACAAATGACTGATCATGACATCTTATGCATTCAGCAGTGTACTAATCTGTCTTATCATGAAATTTGTGTTGAAATGAGATGTTTCCCATTTTTATATGTGCTCCAGAAACCAAGTTATCACTGTGACAGAATAAATCCTTTATTCTTTAGTTTCTTTAGATCAACAGCTTTTCAGACTGTTTCATGAACTTCTAAGGGTTAAATTTATTGACGATGAATCATAACTTTACTCTGAGTAACAGAAATGGTTTAGAAATGTTTGGTCTATATTTTAATCATTTATTTAGTATTTTTTAACAATTTGGTGGTTATAATGTCACTGAATAATCTGAATGTCAGTGTTTAGAATCCATTATTAATCATGATGACATTCATTCACATGTGTTTACTCTTTTGTTGTTCACAGTTTCTGTGTTACTCTCTGTTTCATTTCAGAGTAATTTAGCATGTTCAATGTGATACTTGAAACATAATGAGAATGTTAGATGTGATCCTACAGTTCATTCATATGTGTTCAGTATCAAGTCATTTATCATGAAACCAAGCATTCAATGATATTAATCATAGTGAGTGAGTATCAGATCTGACTCTTTTACCAGCCAAAAGTATAAGTTAGGTCTAATAATCAGAGATCCGAGGTCTCCTCTGCAACTGGAGACCCCACGACCCCTCCTCTTTCTCCTCACAAACACACACACACACACACACACACACACAAACACACACACACACACACACACACACACACACACACACACACACACACACCAGAGACACTCCCAGTGTGAGAAGATAAAACCAGAAGTGGGGATGCACAGCCCCATATACTCTTGTACCCTTATTCTCTTACACCCGCTTCTTTACTCACTGTCCACACCCTTCTGTGTTCCTCTTCTTTGTTTTCTCTTAGCTCTTTTTCTTAGTCTTCTAAGTTTTACGCCACGTGTTGATTCACATTGATTTTTCTTTAACATCGTCTTAGTTCAATTTTTGAAACTTCAACTTTTTGTGCGCATAGCAATTCAAGATTAAGCCTTTGATTGATTTTTCTTTAATTTCGTGTAGCCATTTTTGAAAGTTTCCACTGGTCATTGATCCTCGTTTTTCTGACTCATCTGTGTGATTTCAAAGTTACCTCTGAACACAACTCGGCAGGCCCAGGTCATCCTCTGTGCCAGAGTTTTTGAGTGAGACCAAAGAAGCGTCCAAACGAGCATCCACAGGATCCACAGGTGCCAGCTTTGCTTCGGGCCCGAGTGCTGCAACTCCTGGCCCATCCTTCGGCTGACTTCAGTTGTCTTCTGAGCTGAGCCGCTCGAACCACCGGTAGCCCCGGACCTTCAGAACCTGCTCCATCTTCTCCAAGGTCCAGTCTCACTTAAGTATGCAAACCTCCAGAGCTCCAAAGAGGGCTGATGCTGTCTCATGCTGTCATAACTCACTTATTCTGGAAATCTTAGATTCCTCCAAATCCACATCCCAATTTATCTGGACACCAAAGTTAGTGGAGGTTAATATGTTAGAGCATATTCACTCACTATCATTAACTTTAGTGCTCCTAGCTTGACTCAGAATCTTTATTTATTCACCTATTATTATTTATCCTCATTATCTTATCATTTATTGCATGTGTGTTGTACCATCATTTATCCTGTCATAAACAGATCATTATTTTTCTAAGTTCTGGTCTGTTAGTGTTCTTCCAGAAGTGGAGTCCCTGAAATGAGAATTTCAGCTTAAGATATGAGATTGATTAATTTAAGATTGACTTAAGGTTTGATTTCTCAATAAAACTTTTGTTTTTCTTTATTTTCCCACCATTAAGAGTGGGTGGTGCCCCTTTCAACGAGTGCATAAATGTCATAACTTGAGATTATTCATCTTCAGACATTTATTATAAATTCAAATCGCTACACCAGTCTATACATCACACCTCTAGAAAGTTAAGAGATTTTGTCTCAGTACTTTTATAAAGTTCCCATTCTGAGTTTATGAAGACATGTTCAGTGGTTTGAACAAGTAAACATCTGTAATCAGTTGATTAAGAGCTGAGCAAGTCATGTGAATGAATAATAACTGACTGAATAAATACAAGAGAATGAAAAATACATTTGGAGGTGCTTATTATGTCGATGATCAAATCTGCAAACACTTTGTAGTGAGTCTTCCATAAAAAGTTAGACATTCAAAACAATCATTTAGACACATTTTCTTTGCTTTATAAACCATCTTTGTTTGGCAAGATTTCTGACTGGAGCTTTTTCAAGGATGCCACAGCTTGCACTGAAACTACAAACCATCGCTCAGAGTCTCAGCATACAGTCTGCCCTCCTTCACCATTATGTACCATTTTATTTCCCAGCACGATCCAAATGGAAGCATCATCTAAACTCTAAGCTTTTCTCAACCCTCTCATCCTGGCTGATATTCTGAGCAGATGGTTCTTATGCTGCTGATAAATTGCCAGAGTGGTGCCAGCCACCCCATCTTTTGCAGTGTAATGGGATTATTAGAGGGGTACAATCATCAGTATTCAAGTCTGCTTCGTTCTTATTAATAGAGGGCGTGAATAGGCCTAAAAAAGAGAGTCCATGTTCAGATGAAAACAAGCCGTAACTTTCTTTCATGTCTTTTTTATCTGATGGAGAGGAGCATGGACTACTGAAAGATGAACACTGAGATCATTAAAGAGCACCGAGTAGAGATGAGCAGGATCATGTAAGATAGCTTCAATTTGAGCCTTTCTGTGAATATAGCCATAGTTAAGGGGCATTTTAGCGTGTCACTGATGCCCATAGTGTTTCAAATAAGCAGCGTGGTGCTGATTACTTTTACAGTGCTGCATTAAAAACACTCCAGGATGTGTGAAACAATCATGAACATTAATGAACTTCTGAAAACTATTGCAGTTTTTTCACATTTCACTGTTTGCTTTCGGCCCTGAGGATCTTCACTGTAATGGTTGATCAAACCCAATCTTCTCACACTCGATCATGAAATAAAATCCCCCTTTTAAGCTG